TGGATATATGTGTTATAATGCATATACTATCTTAGTAAGGTAAGTAAGTGTATATTATTTGAAATCGAGTACATATATTTTGGGAGGTTAACACCCTAAAACATTTTTACTGATATAAGGTGTGATCAAACAGTCTCTAGTACAGAATGTCCAATAATCATGAGAACTAATGAAAACTGCAACTGAGTCAAACGCCACATCTTCTATTCCCCCTGCTTTGGACTATTCTAAATGCATCCAAACATAAGGCTTTACTGTTCATATACTGTGGGGGCCCTTTAAATGCTGGTGTCACAGTGGGAAACTAACACACTATAAACCCTAAGCAGTTGTCAGGCTTTTGGGGACAGGACTGAATCAATGCTATGTTTATATCCTGGAAGAACCAACACTATGAGAATCTAGTCCTATGATTCTGTCATAGCGGTAAGGATTTTTTAAACTACCATCACTGACAGATGAATCCTTTATAAGCCAGTTTTTCTTAGAAAGGCTGAAGGTTCAGGGCCAACCCTTGAGAAGCAGGGAGATAAGAGGCAGAAGCTGCCTCTGCTAGAAAACCACTGTGGGCCACACACATATGATACGCTCCTGTGTCAGAGACAGATGGACAAGTAGAGGTTTGTTTTATACAGTGATACCAAAAAATGCAAAATGCAAAATTGTATTTAACTATTACAATGTGTGAAGCTGTTATTATAATCCTCCTTTTGCAGATAAGGAGGTGAGGATAAAGTGCCTAGGCCATTTAGCAGCCAGTTGAATTCCAGGATTTATATCTCACATTAAAACCCTCAATGAGGGCCAGCCAAGTGGCGCAAAGGTTAAGAACTGGCTTGGGACGCCAGAGGGCCCCGGTTTGGATCCCACATATGAGGGCCAGTGACACTGCCCTCCACAGCTAAGATGCTGAACAACAGCTCAACCTGGAGCTGGGCTGCTGTGAGTCGCCGGTGACGGCGTAGGCTGCAGCCCTTGCTGCAGTGGGTTGCCATGGGCTACCGTGTGTAGCCAGCAGCCAGCGTGAGTGGCCAGCAGCTGCCGTGAGTGGCTGTCCAGAAGCCAGAGACTGATCTGCCTCACCCGGGAAGAGCGCAATGATGGTGCCAACCTGGGCCAGTGAAGCAACGTCCTCCACAACTAGACTGAAGAACAAAAGGACAGCAACTTGTCTGTTCCCCTTCCCCCAATTCCCCAGCACTGTTCCCATCCCCCCAATTCCCCAATAAAAAAATCTTTAAAAAAACAAAATCCCTCAATGATCCCTTTCCCACCTCACCCCTCCCCCACCTCTCAGGATGGCGTCCAAACTCCTAACCGAGTCTGTCATCTGTCTTTTGCCCAGCTCTCTGACCCTCCCATTTTCTCTCTTGCCATTTACTCCTCTCACACAGGTTTCCATTTTATTGAGCTTCTTGTAGCTGCTCTAACGCATCACGCTTCCTCTGACCTCCATGCTGTTCTCTGTGCCCCCGACCCAACAGCCCCGGCTGCAGCAGGTACCCCGTGCTCCCGGCACAGGAGCACTTCTCACTCTGTGTTCTCATCCTGTGTTTACATTTTTGTAGCCTCCACTGGACTGTATGCTTGGGAAGATACCCATCTTCCTAGTTCCCTTATGACCTCCACACTGAATTCAGGTCCTGGCACTTAGTGCGACGCTCAAAAAATATCTGTTGAATTATATACATGATGATGAGAAACGGCATCTTGAAAAAGTTAATTCACTAAAGGTCATACAGTCATATCTAGAAGAGAACTGGACCCAGCTCAGCCTCATTCCAAAGCTCATGATTTAAACTGCTATTAGCATGTTGGGAGCCCAAATGGATGCCATTCTACCTATTTATTTTTACATATATGTATATCTTGGTTTATGAGCATGATTCATTCTGGAAACAAACTACTTGTATTGCAAGACATCGCTCATTTGCCAAGTTAAAATGTATTAGAAATGCTAGCTCGTCTTATGAAACACTCGCAAACCAAGTTACTCGCAATCCAAGGTTTTACATATATATGTCTCACATTTACATATATATATTACATTTTTATGCTGCAATTAACATAGGAATGCATATGTCTTTTTGAATTAATATTTTTGTATTCTGCAGATAAATACCCAGAGGTGAAATTGCCGGGTCGTATGGCAGTCAGAACCCTTCCTAACACAGACTTCTGGACAGCTAGTACAAATCAATACATGTGAACATAAGATGGAACCTATTCATTCATAACCTGGCTCTAACCTGCTTTCCAGCCTCATTTTCTATCACTTTCTTTCCCATCCACACTATGTTTTAGATGCTTCTGAGCTTCCTTAATGTGTAATGCTCTTTCAGGCCACTTCACCCCTGTACACACTAATTACTATGTCAGGAAAACAATTTTTCTATTGGATCCGGTCAAGTCTTGCTAATCCTTCCAGAGCCAGTTCAAATATTGTTTCCTTTTGAAGATCTTTGCTGAACAGCAGAGTTAGAAATGAAAAGCTTCTTTTTCTTCTATTTACAGTGTATTGCTGTTATCTGTTTTCACATGAGTTGACCCCCCTTCTAACTAGAACGTGACTTCCTCTGGACTGGGACCACATCTTAATCATCACTGTATCATCCCTAGAGCTTACGACAGTAACTAGAACACACTGAAAAAGTGAAAGACTGAACAGATGACAAAAATGAATGACATGCTTCTAACTGTATCTACAGTAGTAGGTTTAGAACTTCTAGTTCCTGCTTCGGGACACTGTCCTATAACATGTTGTTATATATGTTAGGGACACTCCCATTTCAACTCTCTCCTTAGACTCTCCTGGTCCCAGGCATATCAGGCAAGTTCAGAATTTCACTGATGAAGGAGAGTAATAACAACGATGGTGATAATAGCTAACATTGCTGAATGCTTATCACGTGCCCAGACAAAAACGACTTGCTTTCAGACTTAAAGAACAAAGAGCAGAATAATCTTTAAATATAATCAAAGATAAAAGCAAAATAAATATAATTCTGAGTATAAAGAGTCATACTTTGATCTGTTATCCAAAAATACGACACCTGTCTAAAACTTCACTGAAAGAGTTTTAGATCATTTATTAATACAAAAAGGTCAGAGCCAAAGGAAAGACTATTGCTTATACACATGTCTGCGCTGGGCAGTAAATCACATATTTTTTCCTAATATCATTCTATAGTGGCTCCAGTTAAGATTATCTTAAGAAATTTCTTTCCTGGTTAAATCTATTGTACATGGGTGAAAATTAGCTTCCGGATAGCATCTCCTCGTGTTCCAAAGAATGACCACAAGATCTGGAGAGAAAATAAGCCTTAGGTGACAAAAATCTGGGGAGTAATGAATGCTGATTGTTGTATGTTCCTCTTAGAGACTTACAGTGCACATTAGCATACTGGGGCTAAGAAAGCCACGGTAAGGAAAACTGCTCAATGTGTAGCCCAGAATCCTCCATGGTTTATTTGACCAGTGAACATTTTTTTTTCTTTTTTAATAGAATGCCTCATTTATTTTCTTGGAATTAGAATTGAGAAATATTGGCTTTAGAAGTTTCTAGAAACAGTTCTGCACTGGGATTTTGGCAGTGGGCATGTGCAAAGGGGATTGCTATGAAGACCTACCTGATTTAGAAAAAGTAAGATCTGCTAGGCTCTGGGCCAGAAGAGACTCATGTTTGGTATCATCATTTACGTGATAAAAATTCAACCCTATATAAATGCTTGGAAGAAAAGGGCCAACTCTTAATCACTTGTTTGAATTAAGAATTTAGTAATTATGGCTGTCTCACACAGTCATAGAAATTTATACTTTCATTTTATCCCAAAGAAAAACTTGACCATCTTTCTTTAATACTATCAACCTGGAAGCTTGACAGTAAGGATTAAAAATTGCTCCTTCCTTCCCACTTGGTTATTGGAAAGGCTCTGAAAGGTAATCAGTCTTGTGAAGCTATACTTTACAGTCTGCATAAAAATGCCATGATTTCCCTTCCTTTCCCCAACCTAATTGAAAGTGCATAATATCACCCAGCTGGGGAAATGTAAACGGTAAACATATGCAGTATATCATGCTATCACACAAAAGCTGGTTACTAATAGGAACTTGGTGGTTGTCAGGACCAAAAGGAATCTGGAAACAAGTCTTTTTTCTCCATCTAGAATGAGAGCTCTTTGTGCTTGCCAAGCTGTAGTCAGATTAAACCAAGGTCAGTCAACTCATTCCTTGCCTGTGTAATTCCAAGGGTCACCTAACAATGTATATTGACTAACACTCTCTTGTATCAGCCTTTCATTCAAGAGACGAGGCATTTTTCCTCTGGCAGGATGTGGGGTTGGAATCATCTTATTCCCTACCTACTTCAGTTGTACTGACAGATGGTCCTGTTATCTCTTTCCTTAGTTGCTACACCTCAAGTTCCTTGGCTTTGTCACCTCTTATCTTTCTCTACTTCATCAAACTCCTATTGTCAAGGTTATCTCCCTTTCTACCTCTGATTATCCATGAACATTGGTACAGGATCACATTTTCCTTGAGTATAAAATCCTGATCTTACTTTTCAAAGTCCTCTGCACCTCTGCAGCTATCTATAATTCCGCTTCATTTATGCCTGCTTAGAAGTCATCATTCTAGTCTCTGACTCCGCACGTCCAAGCGTCATGCCATTTTCTTAAATAAGACTTTCACAGTAGGGCTTTTAGAAGGAAAGGACAATATCCCTTCAAGGTTTTCACCATTAGTTCTCTTTTACAACATTCCTCCCTGTTGTACCATGAACTCAACTTGTACTCATTCATGCTGCCTTATAACTGACTAGTGTTTTATTTTTGATAGCTGATACCTTACAGGTAGGTCAAAGCATAGCACTTGTCAAGGGTACCGTGTCATTTCCATTTTAACAGATTGAAGGATATATTTTTATCTGCTTCAGCAGTACAGATGATTTGAAACTTACTGAATTAAAAGTACATTCATCTTTTAATAAGTTATATTACCTGTCAACTGGCACTGGCGGATGGTATGGCTTGTTGACCTTGGCATACAGACCCTCTAAGTGATCTCTCTCTGGAGACAGTGGACGACCATCTCGAGGAAAACCCAGTGGTCCAGGCCTAGGGGGAGATGGAGACCTATAGACATTTGCTGATGCACATGGTTCCCGGAAGTGGTTCACTCTGGCGTAATTGGGGTCCATTTCATCATCGTCCATATCATGCAGTGATCCCACTGTACCGGTAGTATAATCAACGAGACCTCTTAACTGCTTTTCCCTTAGTTCCTGGTGTTTTGCTCCAATCCTGAAAAATATAGAACAATAACAGAGATATATGTGATTTTACATGCTAATACAATGATATATTTACTCTCCAGAATCTATGTTAATTGTTCCTAATTAGTCACTTAGTTGTCGCTTTCCTGTGTGCAGACTCAAGATCACACCATGCAGAAATGCCAACAGTATATTCCATGGGATTAATTTTATATCTGTGGTCTTTATTTATTACAAGGTCTTTCCTTTTTTCCTTTTTTATGCACTTTGAAAAGCTTTACTGAAAAATAATTAACATACAATAAACAACCTATTAAACGTGTAAATTAGATGAGTTTTACAGGCTCTTTACTTTTATAGCAATGCTACAGGAATTTTAACATCTTGCCCACTGATGACTGGACTGACTGCAGAGTCAGAGGCTGTTTTTCATTACCATTCCCTCCCTATAAGTGAGATGTGCTCATGGGAACAGTACATCTTCCATGCGTTATTATGGAAACCTGCCTTGGAACAGGGATGCATGTTTAAGAGCCCATCAGAATCTTATACTTTGTCTTTGATTTCTCTATTTGGTGCCCTAGAGTTCCACTGTATGCTTCTACAGAAAAGAGCTTGCAAAAATTAATTTAAATTTGAAAAAGAAATGCAGAGGCTTTGTGGTCACTAAAAGCAGTGGGATCAGATATAATTTATAAGAGACTCTAAGTTTTTTGGTTACATAAGTAAGGATGATTGTGTCTCACTATATAGGGAGTAGGGACAGAGTAAAACAGTGAAGAAATTAATAGGCTCCTGACAGAGATGAATTGGCACATATAAGTGAATTAAACACCATTACTGGCAGAGCTCCATAGTGCTAAAGCCTTAAGTGATATTACAAAATGTTACTGCTAATCAGTGTACTGTGTAGACTACTGGGAATGGGAGCAGAAAAATATACTTAGGTGGATTCCAAATTCATCTGAATTTTGAGAATTTGACATTTAATCTGGAAAGTGTTGGATTGGCTCTCCTAAATTCCCAGTTATGTGTTAAAATGGAAAGGTCACTGTGATATCTTATTGGACAATGGTGATCGGACGGTGTCATGTGTTCAGCGCTAATGAGGAAAGAATGTAACCTTACATCACCAGACAAACAAAGTGCATTGTGTACAGGATGAGAGAATTAAGATGTATTGGCTTGATGGTGAAAGAAAGACTTTTAAGAAAGGATGGGGACAAATCTGAAGTCCTGGGCTCAGAGAATACGAGAGGGCTGTGGGCTAGAAAGGAAAGATCTGTATATGCCTAGAGACATATATCAAAAGCCTAGATGAGTGGAAAACAAAACAAAACTGAACTCTCTTGTATCTTCATCTTTTCAAACAGAAACAGCTGTTTTTGCACATAGCAGCTAGTTTTATTTTACAGAACATCAAACTCTTTATAAAAATCTTAACAGCCATGATCTTTCAAGGTATTTTTTCTCTTTTGGCAGAATGACATTTTTTTTTTTTAAATATGGAGGAGGGAAGGAGTAAAAAAAAAAGGTGAAGAAGGTATAAAACATACACCCAGCATCTATCCTCAAATCACAACAGATGAAATTAAATGCCAGGATACATTATTGCATGTCTCTTTTGACTAGGTCAAATCATGCACCCTACACTACATATAAGTCATTAGAAGAATTTATATTTTTGCAAAGGGGAGCTTGAATCTTCAAGGGATTTTGAATGAAGATGAAAGGAAGATTACACCGTAGGGTACCCATTAAGAGGCCCTGCCTATCCCCTTTCTAATGCATGTTAGTCCTAGATTCATGAATGTTTGTTTTGAATAATTTTTGATAAAGAAGATAATCTGCTCCACTGCAACAAAACGATCTTTATGGGGACAGTGCAGGCTGGGTTATCAGAGGATGCTTGCTGCACTATGCTGATAGCGATGGATTTCCATTGCAAATAGAACACAGGACATCAATAAAGTTAGGGTGTGGTTACTATCCTCTTAAGTGGGAGGCCTTCAAGAAAAATCATTCAGCAGAAAGATGAACATCTAATGGCTGCCACACGGGGCTATACTTGTGCATTCACGAAAAGAGGAAAACACCAAGCTTGCTTTTTAAAAATCACACAAATAGAACACTAGTATCTGTGTTCCTTATTTCATCACTTCCCTTTCTTTGAGGTTTTCTCATTATTTAAGCTTGCTGAGTATGTAGAGATTCTTGGATGAAAAGTACTCCATGTATGCAAAGCAGTATTTGTTTTGTATTTTTTTTCTTCCTAAAACAAAACCATATTTCTCCTTGATCCTCTCCACACCACTGAGTGTTTAAGTAATTAATTTCATATTAATCACTCAGTAGGTGAAATAGTAATTTTTCTGAACCATCATTATTATGCCATATATTAGGGTCTCGCTGTGAGGGGGAGGATAAGGCAACCTCTGAAAAGGGGTATATGGAGGCAGAAGAGAATCTTTCAAGAGTGAAATGTCAAAAACACACACACAAAAAGATTTTTTTTCTCTCTCTGACCTCCTTCTGCCCCAATTCAGTGTGAGAATTCTAATTGTTTATAATCATTTCCACTTGGGGATCTCCTTACCACTGGGAACTCAACCTGTTAAAATATCTATTTTAAATTTTTTTTCTATTTTTTTAGGCATTTGTACAATTTATGCCGTGATCCCCCCAATAAATCTAGTAGCCATCTGACACCATACATAGTTTTTACAACATTATTGCCTATTTTCCCCACACTGTATTTCACATCCCCGTGACTATTTTGTGACTACCAATTTCCTAATCCCTTCACCTTTCTCCCCAAGCCCCCCTACCCCCTCCCAGCTAGCAAACGTCAGTTTCTCTATATCTATGAGTCTATTTCTGTTTTGTTTGTTTATTCTGTTCTTTAGATTCTACATATAAGTAAGATCATATGGTATTTGTCTTTCTCAGTCTGACTTATTTCACTGAGCATAATATCCTCCAGGTTCATCTATGTTAAAATATCTATTTTTGAAAATAGCCCTAGATAAGATACACTTTTTATTGGATGGTACCATCAGTTTCCCCATTTTCCCAAGTACATTGCCTTTGGATTGTTTAAAACTACTTTTTCTCTTTTCCCCTATGAAACCATTGTTTCTTTTTTTTTTCCATTATACCTCTTGGATATCCTCTTTTAATGCCATTTTTTTAGCCAGTCTGCTATTCAGGCTTTATATTGCCTATATCTCCATTGTCCAATATGGTGCTACATAAATTTAAATTGAAATTAATTTAAAAAATTAAAATTCAGTTTCTCAGTTTCACAAGCCACATTTCAAGTGCTCAATAACTACATGAGCTAGTGACTACTATATTGGGTAGTGTTGATAAAGACTAATTTCCATCACTGCAGAAAGTTCTATTAGACTGTGCTGGCTTAGATTTTCCTAAGATTTTTTTTTTGTTATGTCATCACATCTCACTTTTTAATTAACTAATTTCTTTTTAGTAAAGTGTAGTTCACATACAATATTGTATTAGTTTCAGGTGTATAACATAGTGATTTGACATTTACATACCTTATGATGTGACATTCTACTTTAATCTGTACCATAAAAGGCTGTTAGAATACTCTCCCTCAAAGTGCATTTCTGTCATATCTCTGTCAGTCAGTTTTGATTCACAAAAGCTTACCTCTTTTCCTTGTGTATTTTAAATATGGACTCCATTTTCTTATGACAAAGTATGGCTGTTCAAAAGTTGAATAATAATCTAATTTTATTTATCTTATAAATTACTTATAAATAACTTGCTTTTTTGCTTATCTGGTCAAATTCTTTTCTTTAAAGCCCATAATCTTACTAGAAAAGTTATTATGGGCAGATAACTTTTTCAATATGTACTTCTATGTATATTTTTTCTATCTGGAAAGTTTTCTTGAATTATAGATGTTATTGTTAATGTTGAAGGATAGAAGTTAAAAATAAAAAGGTCAATTGTACTTGGCTACATACTAGTAGTGAACAATTACATAATAAAATAAAGAAAACTATACCATTTAAAATAGGATTAAAGAATATTGCAGGGGCGGCCAGTTAGCTCAGCTGGTTAGAGTGCAGTGCGCTTAACACCAACGTTGCTGGTTCAATCCCCACATGGGCGACTGAGTTGTGCTCTCCACAACTAGAATGAAACAACTACTTGACTTGGAGCTCATGGGTTCTGGAAAAAACATACTGTTCCCCAATAAAAATTAAAACAAAAAACAAAAAAAAAAGGAAGAAAAGAAAAAGAAACATGGGTTGCTTTTAAAAAAATTGCAAACTTAAGGATACATTTAACAAAAGACATGTAAGTCATCTACACTGAAAACAATAAAATACTGCTGAGAGAAATTAAACAAGATATAAATAAATGGAGAGTTATACCTTATTCATGGATCAAAAAAGTAATTATTGTTAAGATGTCAGTTCATCTAAATTGTCATCCCAATTAAACTTCTAGGAGGTTTATTTTCCAAAAATTAACAATGTAATTTTAAAATTTATTTAGAAAGCTAAAGGGGAAAAAATAGTTAAAATACTTTTGAAAAATAAGAATAAAGTTGGAAGACTTCCACTACTTTCTTCGAGACTTACGATAGAGCTTCAGTAATGAAGCCAACGCTTAGACAAATAGATGAATGAAACAGAAGACAGCCTAGTAATACACCCACACATTTGGTGAAGTAATTTACAACAAATGTGCCAAAACAATTCAATTAAGAAGGGAAAATCTCTTCAACAAGTGGTGCTGGAAAATCAATAAGGGCAATCCATAAGAGAAATAGAAACTGGGTCCCTACAGTATACCATAACAAACCTCAGTTCAAGACTGAAGATAGGCCTAAACATATAGGCTACCACAATAAAGCTACTAGAATAAAATAAAGAATATCTTCACAACTTTGGGGTAGGCAAACATTTCTTAGAACACCAAAAGCATGAAACACGGAAGAAAAAAACCATTAAAAACAGAAAAACCAAAAAGAAAAAAATCACCCAAATT